AGAATTATTAACCTGGGGGTGAGGGTATGCGGCTGTTTTGTCTCCTACAGGTCCACTTTGGATTCCCGCTCTGGCTGCGGCGTGGCCCGCGCTCCATCCCTCCCACGGCACTCCGAGCCCAGTCCCGGGTTGCCGCTGCCCAGGCTCGGCCCGGGACGGCCCCGCCTGGAGGCTCTGGGCAGGCGAGAGCGGGCTCTGCGCTCCAGCCGTGACTAGGGGTCCTGGACACGCCCTGCGCTGCGGCTCCCCCATGCGCCAGCACACTCTGCCCTGCGCCTCCACCCCTTCCCTTCTCTGAACCGCTGCCACCACCCCTTTGGTGGCCGCCATCCGACCCGACTCCAGAGCCACAACTGACACCAGTACCCCTTCCACCAGGGATGAACACTGAAGGGCCGCCATCCAACCCGAAATCACCCCTTCCCCCGGGAATGGACACTGAACAACAGAGATCTGCAATACCAGTAACATGGGGAAGTCTGAAAGCCCTCTCCTCCAAAGCTGAACATATCCTCTCAACTACAGCTGCCCCACTTACACCTGAAAATCTATTTCTAACTATGGTCTCCTTTGTGACCTTCAATTCTCAACAGGTATGTGTTTTCTTCCTCCTCCTTTCTCAGGTACTAACAACCTCTGCCGCAACCACCTATTGGGCTCGTGTTCTTAGCCCCTCTGTCTTCCACCCGGTTACCTGGGAAGAACCAGAGCCCCCTCTTTCCTCGAATGATACTAACATTACTAGAGGACAATATTTGGCCTATTCCAAACCACTTATTAACTCCCCTGAAGAGGGATGGTTTGTACTGTCCACAAATTGGACACTCTATGCTGATGCCCTTCCACTGTGTTTCACTACTCAGCCATGAACTGCTTCTGCGTGCGTGCCTATACTAGAACAGTGGTATATGAATTACACTTACTACAATGGCACCTATAAGCAACCAGCCTATTCTAAGCAATTTTTCGCTAAAGCCATAGCCATTAATGGCACGTTCAGTGCCTATGTTACTCACCTCCTTCCATCCCTGTATGTCAACACCCACACCTATCTCGTACAGGCCCTATCGACAATACTTGGGTTATTTGTCGAACTACTAACTTTTCTTCATATTCTCTCCCTATCAACATTTCACTAGAAAATTGGGGCCCTCAAGGTTTAATTTTATTACCAAATCGCTCTACTTGGCAGTGGGCAGCCCCATACCATTATCAAGGACATTCTAAGTCCTGGAACCCTGGCCTAGCCGGACCCATTCTTCGCTTACGTTATTCAACTACTCATTTCTCCCCATTAAAAATCCTTTCTTGGCGATTAGGTCTCCCTTTTTATGAAAGAACTCTTCGTTCAGGAGCCTTTCTGAAGGGGACAGAGGATGCCAAGAACCCACTCCCCAAATTAAAACGGACATAAAACATGACCATAACAATTCTCTGCTTATATGCACGTCTCGACCATACATTTTTGACTCCACGTCTGTCCAGACAAAATGTCTCCACTCTTAACATCAATTCTGTATTTGTTCTTCAACAAAAAGGCCACCTTTGGCTGCCCATTAACCTTACACGCCCTTGGCAAGATAGCTCCCCCCTCGCTCGGGTTGTTAATGCACTACAGAAAATATGAACTAACAGGTTTCTTGGAATTCTCATAGCCTCTATTATCACAGCCACTGCTACTGCCACTACGGCGGCTACCGCCGCCCTAGCTCTCTCCCAATCTATTCAGACCACCCAGCTGTTTAACACTTATATGCAAAAATGTTACTTCTGAAATGCAAACTATGGCACATATTGATCAAGAGATCCTCAAGCGTCTGGGTGCTTTAGAAGCCTCAGTCCTCTGGCTTGGAGAGCGACAGGAAGCCCTATGGGAACATTCCCAACTAACCTGTGATGCTGAATACACTCGCTTCTGTGTTACAGCCCTTCCATATAATGAATCCTGGAAGGATGTTAAAAGTAACCTTTAGGTAGCTTCGCTTCTCCATTGAAAAGTGATATTCAAAAATTACAATTTCAATTACAAGAACAGCTCTTGATATTACAATCAGAGTCTAATAAGGCTACACTTAATACACTTAATGATTTTGCCTACTGGCTCAATCCCACACATTGGTTCTCTGGACTCAATCTCCGTGTCTGGATCCTTTTTGCTATAGGATGTTTAATAGTCTTGTGCCTCCTTATAGTCATCCGATGTCTCTACTCCCTGAAGATCTCCCATCACCAACAGAAGTCGGCCTTCTACGCCTGGACCATTTGCTACCAGTTACCTAAACAGGAGACGGGAAAAATAAAGACCTCCCCTTAAGAAGGCCCTTCCTATGCTATTATTTTGATAATCAGTAATTACCTGTATTTTGTTAACCAGTAAGTTCCCAATGAAAATTTGTTATGTGTAAACTCCTCTATATTTTCTGCTTCTCCTAGTTAGATGCTTCTGTATAGACAGATTTCTAAGTTAGATGATTCCTTTCCAACTGATAGTAAATTTCTGTAAATCAGTGTTTGTTTGATTGTTAAATCTGTTACGATGTGTAAATTACCCTTCCTAGTGATTTCCTTCCAAGTAATGGCAAAGCTTGCAAATCACTGCTTGTTTGATTGTTAATGAATCTTTGAGCCTTTATAAATCTTTAAGCCTTTAAGAATAATAATTTCAGTGGATGTTAAAAGTTAGTGTTTACCTGACAAAATGAGAGTCAGAGGAAACCCATGGGTCCAACAATCAGGATATTACTAGTGCAGAGGATTATATATATTATCCTCATAAGATCATCCTCTATTGTGTTACACACCTGAAAGGCACATTGAGTCCGCTCACTCCGGCTATGCAATTGATAAGAGCATCGCTCTTACTTAGTAACCTGGTGAAGAACCAGATGGTATCTGGTGGAAAACCAGCACCATGAGTTTAAAGAGCCTGCTATGGCCGCCATCAGGCAACTAAGTCCAGGTGTTACTCATAGCTATGCTACTTCTCCTCCTTAAACATATGAAGTGTGCCCCAGCCGTAGCTGGGCTCACAAGGACTCACTAAGACACCAGGCCCGGAGGTGTGGAGACAGTAGCTGAGATAATCTTGGACTTTATCTCATAGAGAAAATTTTACTTTATCCTAATGGGCATTTGTTGGACCAGTGAAAATCCTCTTGATTCTTATTCCATTAACTAAACAAAAGGGGGGAAATGTGGGGATATGTGCCATTAAAATATGGATGTATAAAGACCTCTATGCTGCACAACATGTTGAGACTTGTCCCCAACTTGTTGAGACTTGTCACAACTTGTTTTTCCAAACCCGTTACTGATTGGCTTGTTTACCCGAATTCCTCCTCCCTTGCCCAAAACTTATTGTTATTCACCCAAAGCCCATTGTTCTGTTATTTGCTTCGCTGTTTGCTGTATTGACTATAAAATAAACTCGTGGGACTGAAGCCGAGGTTCAACTCCTCAGAGTGACCCTCCTGGCCCTACTTCTCTGTAAGAGTTGTGGCATTGGTTATTTGTCTCCACCGCCCCGACAACCGTCACCGCTGCGACACATACCATGCTGTGATCCACACGGAAGAAGGCCAACTGGCATGGCTTATTCAGGAGATTTGCAAATGCAATGAAGGCATCTGCCTCTTCCAAATTGAGAATGAGTACCGCTGCAATGAAGGACATCCCTTGGACCTTCAAAAGGAAAAGAAATTAATCAAAATGTGCTTACAATAATAATTCTATACAGTTTATTTTATTGTACTACTGAAATATTAAAAAGTGACATTACAAAGTAGAATTAACCAAGATTTATTTTTTTCTCCCCAACAAAGGTTAAAAACAGAAAACCTACCAGTAATCACGAACTCTCCCTAATTTTACATTCTCATTCATGTGGTATGGCTTTAAAAAGTATTAGAGAAATTTTTTGAAAAAAGAAAAAATGTATCAGCTTTTACTTGCTACGAAAGCCTATCTCAGGGTACTGCTATTTAGTTTTCATTTTTTCTCAGTCTGAATTCTCTCAAAATAGAGTTCAGAGTCACAAAGTTTAATAAAAACCAGGTTATTGTTTTCCCTATTATAATACATTGTTTGAGGTGGAAAGTGAGGAACTAAGAATAAGGGACAACTATGAAAAGTTCTGCTAAAATTCCGAGGAAGAAGTTGTGTGGTTTGAGAAAGTAAGACTAGATTCCTGGAAAAGCAGGAGAAGAAATAAAAACCATTTCAATATGGGAAAGAAGCATGAGCAGACACAGAAATGGGATCAACAGGGCCAGCCTAGTTGGAGCACAAAATTTATAATAGGAATAATGTGACAAATTTGGAAAAGTAGGATGTATTTATAAATTATAAGAGGTTAAGCTGTATGGATATTTGCTTCTCGATTATGAATAAATATTGTACATTTTTGAGCAGAGAAGTGGAATGAAAATGTTGTAAGAATATTCATTCTTTCATTAAAAAAAAAAAAGAGTTTATATGGCACATTTACTTCTGGTAGAGATTTGTATACTGGACTCTTTCCAGCGAAACACTTTGAAAGAGTTGCCTGCAATCACTATCTCTTTTTCAACTACCTTTTTACTCTTTCTAACCAAAAGTTTGGCAGTTTGAACCCACTCAGTGGCACCATGGAATAAAGGCCTGGTGATCTGCTTCTTTAAGATGACAACCAAGAAAACCCTCTAGAGCAGTTCTACTGTGTAACACATGGAGTTGCCATTAGTCCAAAATTGATTCGATAGCAACGGGTTTAGTTTTGATTTTTTACTCTTTAGCACACTTCAGTCTGGCTTCCCACTCCATTACTATCTTGAAACTTCGCTTGCCAGGATCATCAATGATACTATTGCAAAAACCAATGAGCACTTTCCGACCCTCTTAGCAGAATTTCCTCAGCCTCTGTGACCCAACATCTCTTCGTTTTGCTCCTACTTCTCTAGCTTCTTCTGAATGTTCTTTGCAGACTACGGTAATTGGTTATTTCCTTTTCTAGAATATAAACTCCATGAGAACAGAGACTGTGGTAAGCAGAATAATACTCCCCTCCCCTAAAGATGACATCCACATCCGAATCCCTGGACCCTGAAAACATATTACCTTACACGGCAAAAGGGGCTTTGCGGATGTGATTAAGGATCTTGAGATGGAGAGATTATCCTGGATTATCTGGGTGGAACCTTGTAAGAGGGATCAGAGAGTTGAAGATGCTACATTGCTGGCTTTGAAGATGGAGGTAGGGGGCCATGAGCCAAATAATGTAGGTGGTCTCTAGAAGCTGGAAAACGCAAAGAAATGGTTTCTCCCCCTAGAGCCTCCAGAAGTAACATTGCCCTGTCAGCACCTTGACTTGAGACCAGTAAAATCCATTTTAGACTTCTGACATCCAGAACTGTAAGATAATAAATCTGCATTGCCTAAAACCAGTAAGTTTGTGGTAATATGTTACAGCAACAATAGGAAACTAACAGAGAGACCATATCTTACCTAATTCACCACTGTATTCTTTTTTTTTAAAGCAACAAAAGTTTTATTTGTCTTCTATTCAAAAAGGCAAAAGTGGGGACAAGCATGCTGCCAGAGCTAATATCTGCCTGAATCCAAGGAAATATTGCAGAATAGATGAAACTGGGAAAATGGACAAGCATGATGCTACAGCCATGTCTGTCCAAGTCCAAGAAATATTACAGAATAAGCAAGAATGGGAAAACAGACAAGCATGCTGCCACAGCCATGACTGCCCGAGTCCAAGGAATATTACAGAATAGGCAAGAATGGGAAAACAGACAAGCATGCTGCCACAGCCATGTCTGTCCAAGTCCAAGGAACTATTGCAGAATGACCAGTACATATTAACACTACAAAATGGACAAAACCATTGAAAGTGTCACCTTTTCACAGATTGGCTAGAAACTGTGCTCCTACATTTTGAATTGTCTTTCTTAACAATCAGGTTTGAGTACAGGTTTCAGTAACGAGGTCAAGAGGGTCTTCATTGGTCTGACAAATTTTCTATTCACTAAATGCTAATGAAAAAGATAAGAGTGGGAAGTCTTTTGTGTTATGGTTGATTGGCTTATATACATAAAGGTTCCCTAAAAGATATTTTCCAAGATTATGCTAGCAATTGTCTTTATACCTCAGGGCCCCGTTGATGTGTGTCTTTGTGAGTCCTTATGAGCCCTTGTGAGCCCCGCTCCAGCTGGGTCACATTCTCTATGCTCAAGGACAGGGAATAATGATTCCAATATTATTTCCTAAATCATTCCCTCCTGTTGATCGGAAACTGGAGATAACACATCAATGATCAATACCTGGACTTCGTCGAGCTCCTAGATGGTGGCCATTGCAGGCTCTTTAAACTCACGGTGCTGGTTTTCCACCAGATACCATCTGGTTCTTCACCAGGATCTTAAGAGCAATATTCTCATCAATTGCATTGCCTAAGTGAGCAGAATCAATGTACATCAACATTTCAGCCCGAGGCTTTTCTTTTGCCTTTTAAGTGTGCACGACAACAAAAGATAAATTTTATTATGCCTAATACTATCAGGATGCAGACTAAGAATATTACTATTCCTTGCAAAAATGATCTAGCCCATGTACTTATTCCTGATGGTAACCAACCAAATAAATCTTGTGTTTTAATTTAAGAGTGTTACTGTGTGTAACCAAGTACTTGCTGTCTAATTCTATGCATACCTTGTTCTACTTCTCCTGTGTTATTTATCCAAATGCAACAAGAGATATTTGCTACAGCACAGACTATACTTTCTTGGGATAATAAAACTCTAAGGCTATTCGGTTCTCATGTCAGCCTGATTTATGAGGTCAGAGATCGCTGTTGTGCTTCCATCCCACTAGCAACTTTGCCATCTGTCCCACAGTGATTGATAAATATCTTAAACATTTCTCCAATTCAACTATACCATAACTAGGAATTAAAGCTCTCAGAAATGACCAACTGTCTTAGTCATCTAGTGCTACTCTAACAGGAATACCACAAGTGGATGGTTTTCACTAAGAGAAATTTATTTTCTCACAGTCTAGGAGGCTAGAAGTCCAAATTCAGGGCATCAGCTCAAGGGAAGGCTTTCTCTCTCTGTCGGCTCTGGAGGAAGGTCCTCGGTCCTTGTCATCATCAGTCTTCCCATGGACTAGGAGCTTCTCTGCGCAGGAACCTCAGGTCCAAAGGACGTGCTCTGCTCCCGGTGCTCCTTTCTTGGTGGTATGAGGTTCCCAATTCTCTGCTTTCTTCCCCTTCATCTCTTGAGAGATAAAAGGTGGTGCAGGCCACATCCCAGGGAAACTCCCTTTACATCAGGTCAGGGATGTGACCTGGGTAAGGGTGGTGTTACAATCCCGCCCTAATCCTCTTTAACAGAAAATTACAATCACAAAATGGAGGACAACCACACAATTCTGGGAATCATGGCCCAGCCAAATTGATACACACATTTTTGGAGGGACGCAATTCAAACCATGACATTCCACCCTTTGGCCCCCCAAAAAACACATCCTTGCAACATGCAAAGCATATTCATCCCATCATATCATAGCAAGTCTTAACTCCAAGTCCAAAATCCAAAAATTCTTCTTCTTCTGTGAAATCTAGAATACAAGTTATCCACTTCCAAAGGTACAATGGCAGAACAGGCACAAGCTAGACATTTCCATTACAAATGGGAGAAACTGGAGGAAAAGAAGGGATAACAGGCACCAAGCAAGTCAGCAGAATACATTACATTAGCCCTCAAGGCTTTGAAAATAATCTTCTGTTCTCTGAGACAATCTACACAATAGCCTTGCCCTCTAGACTCGGTATTGGCCACAGTCTCTGGATTCTGAGTGGAGGTCCCTTGGCCCTAGGCTTCAGCTCCACCTTCCAGGCCCACTGGGACAGCAACTCTGCTCCCTCAGCTTTAGGCACACCATTCTCCTAGTCCATCGGAGTGACAATTCCACCCTTAGAAACATCAGAGACCATGGCTCCACCCTTTGAAACCCCTGAGATCATGGCCATACCTTTTGAGACCGAGGCAGCTTGGCTTCTTGTGTCCCTTGTCTCTTCAGCTTCTGTTTCCTGGTTTCTTGGCCTCTCAGTTCCTTGGGCCTCACGCCCGCATCTGCCCTGCAGGGGCAAGTGTTCCAAAGCTCTGTAGCTCCACCGGTAAGTACCCGGAGGTACCCCACTCTGCCAGGAAGCCTCCGGTGCACAGGCACTCAGCTCTCTTGCTCCGTAGGTCAGCAAGCCTAGCTCCACTGATAAGTGCCCAGAGGCACCCCACTCCGCCCGGAAGCCTCCTACGCACAGGCACTCAGCTCTCTCACTCCATGGGTCGGCTCCAGCGCCATCTCGCGCTGGTTTCCTGGTTCTACTGCTGTTGGTTCTCTGCTACTGCCACTGCTCTATCTGTTCAGAGTTTCAAAACCACTTCCACATTTTAGGTATCTGTTAGAGCAGCACCCCACTCCTGGTACCAAATTCTGTCTTAGTCATCTAGTGCTGCTCTAACAGAAATACCACAAGTGGATGGCTTTCACAAAGAGAAATTTATTTTCTCACAGTCTAGGAGGCTAGAAGTCCAAATTCAGGGCGACAGCTCCAGGGAAGACTTTCTCTCTCTGTCGGCTCTAGAGGAAGGTCCTTGATCCTCGTCATCATCAGTCTTCCCACGGACTAGGAG